TGTGGTAGCGGGAGTAATACGGGGTCTGAACCGCCCCGGAAAGTTCTACCGCCCGGGTGGGCCGGGCAGGAGGGTGTGATCGGCCAGAGCTTAGTTTGCAAGAGCGAAGCGGTCGGCGTTCATCACCTTGGTGCAAGGCCCCACAAAGTCCGCGGGCCAGTTTCTCGAACTATCGTTGCTGGAGCATAAAGCTCGCAATAGGCGCGCAGGATCGAGTTTCGAGCCAAACCACCAGATTCAAGCCGCGTTGCGGTCCCTTTCTCGGCAACGGACTTGCGGTCGATGATGGCGTAAGTGCAGTCGCCTTGTCTTCCACTTGTTTTCGCCATGTCGGTCCAGGTTGACCGAACAAGGTCGTTGACCAGCGCGCCTTCGCGGGTAGTTGTAAAGACGCCAGTTTGCTGCCACAGTGGTGGGTTGCCCCAGCATCAGCATGCCGCCAACCAATACGGTCATTTCCGGCGCGGATAGGCCAACCAGCTGTGCCCCCCGGTCGAAACCAGAAGCTCCTCGGGGCGGAAACGCAAAGATCTTCTTTCAGCCAGGTGCGGAAGCCGTCTGCGAAAAGGCTCAAGCGGCCAAAGCTCTCGTGGCGTTCAATCTATTCGCTGGCATCGCCACGACGGGGGCAAGGGCACGTCGACGCTGAGCCGGCCAGCCTTGATCGCCTGCTCCAGACCGACATTCCGGCCAGGAACGATGGTGTCAGCCAGCGAGGCACCGGCCGGCATCGGCCAGCGTTGCAGCGTGTCGAGCACATTGGCCAGACGTGCGGGCTCATTCCCGGCCCAGTCCTTTGCGGGGCAAGCGGGTATGCGGGCGACCATTTGCCCCGCCGCGCAGGTCAGAGCCGCGGAAGGTCCGCGCCGCATCCCATGCGGTGGCGATCATCTCAGCGCCCGACAGGCCACTGTCGGCGCCCGATCTGGCTTTCAGCCGTCAACGTCGTAACCGGGTGGCGCCCGCGGGCACCGGATTCTTCCAGATAGGTCTTCGTTGGGCACATCGGGGCCGAGAGAGCGAACCTTGGGGCCCATGATCGCGGTGGGTCAGCTTGACCATGCGCTGTGCGAAGGTTGTCTTTGAAATATCCGGATCGGCCATGCTTTCTGGCAGAGTATCGTTGTAGATCGGGTCCACTTCATTGCCATGTCGGCTCGGTCACATCGGCATGGTGCGTTTGGACGGGTCCGAGGCTTCGCGCGGCATCTGGTCTTCGGCAATGTCCCCCGGTTCCAATGTTAGAGCCTGCGGGCGAGGTGGTAAGCTACCACTCGGGCGAACAGCATGTCGAAATAGCCCATATCGAACTTGGTGGGGTCCGCCGTCCAAGGAGCCTCAAGCCAGACGACACCGCGTTTGACGCCAACCCGCATTGTTCTCGTGACCCAGCCAAAGACCTGCGCTCAAGGCCTGCCCCGCTTCCGGGTGCAGGACACCAAAGCCGAAGCATAGCCGTTGCCGTGCGACCTTGCCGACAGAGTGGCCCCCGCGGTCCAGCGGGCGCAGGTTTCTTCGTCGTTCATGCGCCATAAGGGCAAAGGTTTCGCCGGACATGGAGTGATGTACGTGCGGGTCGGGGTTGCCGTCACGAACCCTCGGGACTGAGTAGATCAGAACCATCGCACCGCGGCCAGCGGGCCGATATCGTGCCGGAATCCTCGATACGCCATAGCGGCTGTCCGACGCGCGCGAGCCAGTCTGCTCTTCACCCCAAAACACATCGTTATCGGGGGGGGGCCAAGATGTCTCCGGCCAAAGGGCAAAGACAAAGGTATTCGGACATCGATTCGTAGCCATGGTGAAGCCAGCAGCATAAAGGTCAGCCATTGTGGTTGCCGTCATTTCTTTTGATCGGCACAGCAGGCGGCGGGTCCTTGTCGAGGCTGACTTGGGGCCAGGGAATTCAGCGGCAGCAAAGCGTTGGTTGCCGGTGTTGCCCCGCCACGGCCATCGACAGACGGTAAGAGCCAGCGGACGGGATGTGCCACGCCATCCGCCACCACTCAGGCCACCGTATGCCCCAGCGGCGGGCCCCATCAGGACGGCGGGCAACCGCGCTTCGACGTCTTTCTTGGAGCGCTTCAACATCGAGTTTTTTCAGCTCTTCGCGGGTAGTCAAAATCCAGGAGTCATGGATTAACCTTGGCGGTCATGCTGGTGCCAGGAGGTCGAGGTTCAGCGCATTTGGGCCACCAGTCGCGGGCGGCGCGGCCTTTCGAGCTGCTGACATGAATTACGGGGCATTTGCCCATATCATTTCCATACATTTGCTCACTCCCGATGTTGGCTTTTTTGGTTCTCTGCCGAGTCAACAAGGGCACGCCAATGGGGAGGGTTAAGGTACGAATCTCCCTCATGTCCCTGAGCTGACGTAAACAAAGGAATCGTATGCTAAAATTGTATTTCCGCCAGGATGTGATAAATCTAAGGTTAGGACAACATAAAATGAGACAGTTGGCGGTATTTCGAAACCCTCGCGCAGCACGGCATTTCGGCAGGCGCCGCCGCAATGTTCGGTGTAGCAGACGGACCTTCGGGTCAGAATCAAAGAGTTGGAGGAGGAAACGCCGGCGCGGTGCTGTGTGAACGCGGAACCGGGAAGGCGCGGATAAAGGGCTTTTGGCGAGGCGTTTTGGCGAACGGGTGCGCGGCATCCTGAGTTCGGCGATGATCTGGCGATCTGGCGCGGGCGGCGCAGGACCGGATGTCGCGGCCCGGCTCAGGCTCGGGAGTATACCGACGGACATTGAGCCCTATCTGCTGCTCGGATCATTGGGGGAGACCCAAGGCTATCCCGGCATCGATCTCAGGTGCGCGAAACCAGACCGAAAAAGCTGATCGGGAGGACTGGCCCGAAGGGCGGAATCGACACGGCCATCGTGGCGCTGCCAATTTCCGGAAAGTCGGGATGACCGGAAGCGGCGCTGTTTTGACGAAGATTTCGTGCTGGTACGGCATGCGGCGGATGCGGGCACGCCGGTGCACGACCGCGAAAAGCGGCGGAAATGCGGACTGCTGTTGCTGGAAAGGGGCACTCTTTCCGCGATCAGCGCTCAGCTTTTGCACATCCGATCGGCGCTGTCGCGGATGGGCTGGATGCAGGTCGTTCGCGACGACGCCTGGTGCAGAATGGTCGGCGCAGGCATTGGCGTGACGCTGTATCCCAGAGATGGCGTGAAGGGGGAAATGAGTTTCGGAGAATTTGTGGCGATTGCGCAGTTTCGCACCCCGACCGACCGCACCATCGGCATATTTGCTCGGCGCAGTCTTGCCAATGGCACCAGTTGAACGATCTGGCCGAGGTTGCTGCCGCCGTTGACCCCGCCGGGCGCCAGGATGTAGGTACGGGAAAGGTCACAGGTCCATAGGAGCCCCTATGGACCACAGCCGTTTGCACCTCGTTTTCGGCGCGCACTCGTCGACTCCGACCGGGAACCCACCTTTAAAAATCAACGACGTAGTCACGTCGGCGGGATTTCCCCGATTACCAATCAGCTATATAAACGCTGGGACATCCGAGGCCGCAGGCACGGTGGACACCGAGCATTGCGTTATTTCATCTTTCGCATCTGCACCGCATTGCTGAGGAAGAGGCCGAGGCCTCGCCGACCCAAGAGATTTGGACAATGACCGATTCTGCCACGCCCTGTTGCCATTCAGGGCCCATATGACATGGGCGCGCAGCGTGATCGCAAGCCGGTGGTTTATCGCCAGCGCCCGGAAGGCATGAATCGTGGGGATCCATGCCGCGCGCACCGGCGAAGCGGATCTCGGACGATCATGCAGCTTGCCGCGCGGCTGGTGTCGCACGGTGGATTGCCTTTGTGCTGGTGACGCTGGGCCCTGCGTCATTGGCCCAAGAGGCTCTAAGATCAGATCATCATTGTCGAGGGCGCGGGGGTGCATCCCGATGATGGCGCGGCGTGTTCTGGCGCATTGGCTACGGAAGTGTGGCCTGGGACTGCGGCGACCTTGTACATCGCATGTGGTGACAGCGGCGCGGACGGGGTGGCCGCTCTACCGGTGGATTCGCGCGGGAAGACGGGCTTTGATCGACGTCCGTGGCGCTGTTGTGGGCCCGATCCGGCGGCCCCGACGAGTTGGGCATATTCAAATTGTAATCATGGCATCGGATGCCATATGCCGCGCGGCGGCTCTGCGCAAAGATGGAGGCTGGCCGACGACGATCTGACCATTGCGGCCCGTTGCAATGAGGGCAGCGCGGGCACTAGGCGTGTTCGCAAAAACCGACCTCGAATGACTGCGCGGAAGCATCGGCACGCGCTCCGGTATTGGCTGGCCGGCGATGGTGCAGCCCGAAAGAATGGCCACCAACGCGCTGGCGCGCCCACTAGCGCGATTTCATCTTGGGCGCATAGAGTGTTGCTGATCATCGGCGGACAAGCCCGAGATGGGTGACGACATGGCCGAGGCTGATGCGGCGCGGCGATATGAATCGTCGTGCGCGGTCGGACCCGCGCATATCCCGACGAGAGACGAGGTTCTGCTGGCCGACACCTATGGCGAGATGGGGATGTGGATCGGGCTGGCCCGGTGTAGTTCATGGCGTCTTCGCTGGTGGCGGGGCATGGCGACTGTGACCCGTTCGAGCCTGCCGCGCTGGGGTACTGCCATCCTCTAGGGTCCCAAACAATAGGCCGCATCTGCCTGCCTATTCGCGGCATGGCGAGGCCGGGGCCGCCCGGATAGTGCGCGACAACGATAACATGAGCACCGCGCCTGAAACCAGACTTTGTCGCCCCGGATCGCCGGCGGGCGGATTGTATTTGGCGGATGGGAGATCGTTTCGGAGGGTCGCAGGTGACCGACGGTCATGGACTGATTTTCCACGACACGCTTGATTTGGCCGAGGTGACATTGATGCGCGCGCCCCGGTTTTGGCACACAGGCCCGACAATCCCACGCTGGCGGCGCGGCTTTGGCAACCGATCGGGGCGCTGAGCGCAGCCACAGCCCGGGCGCTGGCCAAAGCGGCCGATCTGCCGCGCAGAGGTGCCGGTGATCTGCGTCGGCACCACCTCAACGCGGGGCACCGGCAAGACCGGCCCACCCACGATGGACTGTTGCTGCGGCTGATGGGCGGGGGCGCAAACCTGTGGTGTTGTCGCGGGGTCAGGCGGGCGGCTGGAGGTCGGTGAAGGTGGACCGCGCAAACACGGCGCCGCAGATGTGGGCGACGAGCCGTGCGCTGGCCGCCTTTTGCGCCGGTGGTTGTGGCGCGCGCCCGGGCGCTGGTGTGCGCGCCTTGCGCTGGACGAGGGGGCCGATGTGTGCTGGTGATGGGACGATGGCTTTCAGAACCCCGGTCTGGCCAAGGATTCTGTCGCTGATCGTGGTCGACGGCCGCCAAAGGCTTTGGCAACGGGCTTTGCATGCCTGCCGGGCGCTGTGCGAGAGCCGGTGGCTCAGGGGCTGGCGCGGGCCGATTGGTGATCACGCATCGGGCCGGAACGGCGCAGAGGCCGCGTTTGCCGCGACTTGGGGGGACAGATCACGCTGCCCCATATCAGGCGGCCAGTTGGGAGGCCGCTGAGACCGGAAGGATGCAGGTATCTGGCGGTGCTGGCCTTTGCCGGGCATCGGCCACCCGGAGAAAATTCTTTGCCCACCCTGCGCGGCTCGGTGCCTCTTGCGCCGTGGTGAGGCGTTTAGAGGATCACAGCCGCTGACCCCTGCCTGGCTGACCGGCTTTGAGGAAAGAAGCGCCCGGACTTGGTGCGGCGCAAACTGGTCTCGCACCAAAAGGATCGCGGTGCGCCTGCCACGACCCCCAGAGTTTCCGCCACAAGGGTTGCTGACCCTGCCGGTGCGGCTGGCGATTGACGAGATTTCCGCGCTGACACAGCGCTCGACCGGTCTGCTGCAACCGCGCTGATCCGCAAACCGCACACAGCGCCCCCGAAAGCATAAGCGCTACCTCTTGATGGACAGTCCCGCGCGCCCAATATAATCAAGCGATATGCCCAGAAGAAAAATACAGACCCGGGAATATAAAGGTTCTCGCCGAAAAATCGGCGGGCGGGTACGATTATGCATCGAGGAACGACATCGACTGCGGCATTACTGACCCGGGTTCCGAAAGTGAAAAAGCCTACGGGAACCTCGTCCAAACATCGGGAAAGCTATGCCACCGCGAGAGGGCCGAGCTGTGGTTGGTCCACTAGTACATTGCGCCGTACGACCGGCGATGGTCTGTCCATGAGAGCGACGCCGCCGCAAGCTGCGTGGTCAGCCGCAAAGGAATTTGTCGCGGTCTGTGTCCCGACAACCCAGCCCCGTAAGGCATACGTGGTGCCGTTGGTTGCTCTTATTTCAATCACAAGGGTTCTGGCCAAGCTCAAGACGGCATCGCCAGGCCAAGAAGAACTACGACAATGCGCGCCAACGATGCCAAACGCGACGGGGGCCGCCCCAGAAACAGCGGCTGTTGCGTCAGACACCTGAGCGCCGACAAAGCCGCATTTAGCCAATTGGTAGCGCTTTGGCACCGTTGCCCCGCTCCTTGTTTCCCGTGGTAGCCCTTGGATTTACAGAGAGCCAACGGCTTCAGGAGCATCATGATGCAGGACATCCCAAACAGCTGGTATCGACGAGTGGCTGGAACAGAACAATAAAGGACCCAGCGATCTCGCATTCATCACGCAGTCAGTTGGCACATGCCGGACCCGGGCGCGATATTGCGCGGTCTGAATATGACGCCGGGAAAATCACCGGGCGCGCGGTTCTGTGACATTGACGATATCTCGGACGCCAGTTCCGGACCTGCCGCATATGGTGCGCGGTTCGAAAATTCATGAGGCGGA